TTTTTGGAATAAACATTAAACCTCAGCAAGGCAGGTTTAAGGCAAAGCTTTTCCTTCCTCGCAATACCGAAGGAAATCTGGTCACTTTTCAATTATAGTACCTGGGTTTAATCTAGAGATGTGCACCAGTTTCAAGATTTGGTTTGGATCCCAGTTCACTGATCAAGAGACCAGTTCTGCTCAGACACATCCAGTGGTCACTCTGTCCGACTCAGAGGCAAATCCAATGTAAGATTCAGAAAAATGTTTCATCATGCCTTTCACTAAGAGGCATAGAAAATCCACAAATGGCTATAATTGGTTGGCTCTCTGCTAGAACGGGATTGCATTTGCAGGCTTAGTAGTCCCTTGTGAGGGAAGGACACCTGTTGCATTTCAGACAAATAGGAATGGAGGGGACAGTGCTAAATATCTTTCAAGGTTGGAGGTTAGAAAGAAAAAGCCATTAATGGCTTTTCTTTGTTATAGTTGGATGTTTGTAGGCACAATAGTGTCTTCTGGGTTGAATAATTATGTCATCTTTCAGATTAATATAGGCAAGTGGGGGTGTGTGAAACATAAATTTAAAGCCGTGTTGTTTCTGAAGAATGTCCTGATCAGTCTTTGTGTGTATGTGGGGCAACTGTAATGGAATTGGGGAGCACTGCGATGGCCCTACCTAAGAAAAAACAGTTTTAGCGGAAGAATAGTTTTGAATTTCTTTTCTGCAGGGTGCATTTGTTTCCCTCTCCCTTCCTCTGAATTATTCTTGATACTTTGCATGAAAATAGCATATCATAGAGATATCCTTAGTGAAAAAATTCACAGAATTTCAGAAGGATTGGTGGAGGGGCAAGAGAGTTAAAAGGATAAGAAACAAGGTTTGCTGGTTTTTCTTTTTTGTTCAATTGGCAAGAAAATCACACAAACTGCAGAAAGAAAGGGATGTATGATGGATTTGAAGCATAACAGAGGCAAAGGCAGAATGATTTGAACACTGAATGTTTTTCAGGGAAACAACTAAGCCTGCACCTTTCTGAGGCGATGAAGCCTGCTAAATTTCAGAGCTGATAAAAGGAATCTAAATGGGAAATGTATTCAAAATCTGGCTGACCTGCTGTTAGGAGCTAGGTTTTGACCTTTGCACATTCAAAGCAACAGATTGTTTTTATTCTAGTAAGTACAGTCTCCATAGGAGTTTCTGAGCATGCACAGAGCAGTCCATTGAACCCACTCTAGCAACTACTTCTGAGAATCCTTTCTTTGCTTACCTCGGATCCCTTCCCTCTGGGAGAGCCCTTTTGGAGGTGGGCAAACCCCTTCTCTGTCTGCTGCTCCTTTAGTTGGCTGGCCCATATCTCCCCATGCCACATCATGAGAGTTAAGAGTTGTACCATGTTTGGCTGGCTGCTGGAGATCTTCTCTCAGGCCCACTTCCTGCAATGTAGATCCTGACTATTCTCAGAGTCTGTCTGAACATCTGGGGAAGGCGAACTTGAGATAAACCTCTCTGCTTATCCCATTTCAGTGTCTGAGGATGCTGGTTCTCAGGGCTCCTCCTCATCTGATAAGCCTGAGGCTGCCCGACCTTGGAACATGTACCAAGAACAATTGCCCCTTTTATTCCCAACACCTACATGGATGCAAACAGATCATGAACAAATCTGTGGTTTCCTTGGGTGTAGTTTACTCCCTCTGCTTTGGAGCTGGGTGGGCATACAATCCCATGCAATGGACCTATCCTGAGGTTTGATGTACAATTCAACTTTAGTTGCTTGATTCAAATTAAAATCTCATCCAGGGAAACAAGTCCAAATCCAGGATGCAGAATTTAGCACTTATGAGGGAAGGGTGGATGAAATAAAAAAGTAGAAGATCCCCAGGGTTACAGAAAGGCAGCTAGTAGTATGACAGAAAAATGTCTCCCTATTCACTGTCTTTCCATCATGCATACTTTTGTATACCTCTATCATGCCTCCCCTTACTCATCTCTTTTCTATGTTAAATACTAGATGTTGCAACTTTTCCTCATGGGGAGTTCCTCCAGCCTTTTGATCACTTTAGTTTACTTTTTGTGCAATTCTACTAACTGTACAGTATCCTATTTCAGATACAGTGATAAGAATTGCACATAGTATTCCAAGTGTGGTGACACTATAGATTTGTATACAACTGATTTTGGCAGTTTTATTTTCCTTTCCTAATTATGTTTAACATGGAATTTACCTTTTTCACAACTGGTACATACTCATTTGGCATTGAACAGGTCAATATAATTCCAGTATTTTTTTTCTTGGCTGTTCACTGCTAGCACAGATCCCAGAACAATATACTTGAAATCGGGATTTTTTTTTTTTTTTTTTGCTGAAGTGCATTTGATGCTCGTTTTCCTAATTTGGAGAGATCCTTTTGGACTCCTTGCATTCTTTTCTTGTTTTAACCACCCTAATCAGTTTGGTATCATCAACGAAAATAGGCACTTCACTGCTCATTCCTAATTCCAGATAATTTATGAATAAGTTGAAATGTATTGGTCCTAATACAGATCCCTGTGGGACTCACTGCTTACTTCCCTCCATTGAGAAAATTTACCAGTTAGTCCTATTTTCTGCTTTCTGTTCTTTAACTAGAAAGAACAGGACTCTCTTATTTTTCTGAAAATGCTAAGCTTGCTTAAGAGTCCTTGGTCAGTGACTTTGCCAAAGTATTTTGAAACTGCAAGTAAACAATATGTATTAGATCATCCCTGTCCACAGGTTTGCTGACACTCTCAAAGAACTCTAAAGTTTAGTGAGAAAACACATTAGCATACATGTTCATTATTTTTCAGCAGGTCATGTCCTTCTATATGCTTATTACTTTTATCTTCAATAATCCTTTCAACCAAATTACCCAGAGCGGAAGTGAAGCTAACTGGATTGTAATTTCCCACATATCTTTTTTAAAAATGGTGATACATTGGCCATTCTCCAGTTCTTTGGTACAGAAGCTGTTCTTAGAGAAATGCTACATGGTTTTGTAAGAAGGTCAGCAATTTCATACTTAAGTGCTTTAAGAATTCTCTGGCATGGCTATCATCTGGTCCTGGTGATTTATTATTTTCTAATTTGTCAATAAGGTCAAGAACTTCATTTTTATCACCTTTATTTGTCTTAATTCCTTAGATTCCCCTCCTGAAAACATTAATTCAGGCACAGCGATGTGATCTATATTTTCTACAATGGAGACAGAGGAAAAGAATTCCTTCAGCTTCTCCACATTTTCCTTATCCTCTTTCAGTATTCCTTTAACTCCAATGGCCTCCCTGACTAATTTCCTACTCCTAATATACTGGTAACCTTTACTTCATATCATATTTACTTAATATCAATACAAAAATCCTTATGTATTATTTTTATTACACTACCCACTTACATTTTGTTGCAATTTGTGGATGACATTCACAAGGCTTTACTATTTACACTGCCTTTCAGTTAAATGCACTGAACTCTGCATATGTTGGAACTTATTAATATTTTTGGAAGTTCTGTGGGTTTTATAATGCCATATTTTTAGTCTTTTGTTTTGTGTGCAGCATGTTATGACCTGCCCTAAGCCCTTGGGATAAGGAAGAATAAAAATCAGAATAAATAAATTTGTTATGACAACTCTTTCCAGTATAATCTCTCAATTCAAACATAGCAAGTGTATTCTGTATCATTCCCATATAATTCTTCATATACCACAGTGGAGATGCCAGAAATCCATCAGTTACAACTTCGCAAAGTGACAATCACCACTAAAATGGAAAGAAACCATTTAGCAAGGTTTAGCCAAAGCCATTCTCTAAGTTGCCAATTTTTCCAACACAATACAGTATCAAACAGTGTGTTATGTAATGCCACTGAAGGCAATTGTTTAATTTCCCTCAATTCCTCCTTAAAGGATACGTGCACCAGAAGAGGGCAGTATATTCTGAAATTATAAAAGATAGAGAAGAAAAGCCCTTGGCTGCTAGAAAGCCTCCAACAACCTAAGAGAATTTAGCCAAATCAAAATGCAAACAATGCTATGTGAAGTCAGGAACATATATCAGTCTTGACAGTAATGTTGAAAAGCTTCAACCTATGAAACCTCCCACAGACTTCCATTCTAAGAGGCCATTTTTGCAATTTGGAATATCATGATTCTATTTTATGCCTTCCATCTATGACTTCTAGAAAAATGTCTAATGGGAAAAGAGAAAGAAATCAAAACACATCGTTACAAGATGGGAAATACCTGGCTCAACAATACTGCAAGTGAGACGGATCTTGGAATAGTTGTAGATCACAAGCTGATGATGAGTCGACAATGTGATGTGACTGCAAAAAGGGCAAATGCTATTTTGGGCTGCATTAAAAGTATCACTTCCAAATTCCATGAAGTATTAGTTCCCCTTCACTCAGCACTAGTTAGGCCTCATCTGGAGTACTGTGTCCAGTTCTGGCCAACACAATTTAAGAAAGAGATAGAGCTGCAAGTGGTTCCGAAGAGGGCAACAATGATAATTCAGGGAGTGGAAACAAAGCTCTGTTAGGAGGGCTTGAAAGAACTGGGCATGTTTAGCCTTGAGAAGATTGAGGGGAGATATGATAGCACTCTTCAAGTACTTGAAAGGTTGTCACATAAAGGAAGGTCAGGATCTCTTAATCATCCCAAAGTACAGGACATGGAATAACGGGTTCAAGTTACAGAAAGCCAGGTTCCAGCTGAACATCAGGAAGAATTTCCTGACTGTTAAACAGTACAGCAATTAAACCAATTTCCTAAGGAGGTTGTGGGCTCTTCCACACTAGAGGTATTCAAAATGCAACTGGACAGCCATCCGAGAAGGATGGTTTAACTTGGAGCCCTGCACTGAGCAGGGGGTTGGACCTGAGGGTCCTCTGGCCCCTTCCAACTCTACTATTCTATGATTCTATCATATGTTATCTGTTCCTTATGTTTAGGTACTACCAGGGTGACTGGGCTGTTCTTTGGGAAATGCAGAATTTGGTATGTTGCACGTTAATTTTATAGATTATGTTTTATTTCTTGAAATTTCTCTTGATGGTTACATTATACTTGCTTTCACATTATGTAAACAGTGGAATCATGCAAAAATAACAACATCCAATTAAAAATGTATGATACAGGACAGATTATAAACAGATGAATGTGAAGTTACAGCCAAAGTAAGTCTCTTTATGTAAGTTTAATTTGGCTCACAATTACTAGAAAGCAAATTATATTTAAACAACAAAGCTTAACTTCTACTCTCATATGATTTTTAGTCTTTGATTGTTAAACTTTTGATTATTACCAGGCTCAAGAAAAAGAAGCAAGTTAAGTATATTACACTCAGAGGGATCTCACACAAGTGAGTGAAAGGTTTCCACCCGCTCTTTGTACAGTCGGTGAAAGGAATTTGCAATAAGATGAAAAGGGGCTTCAAAGTTTTCCATGTCTTTCTGAAGAAAAAAAGAGAGAGAGAGATGGGGAAGGGGGCAGAGACATATCTTTGTTAGCTACTTCACAAAACCATTGCTGAAAATAACTTATAAGGTGTGAGATAACATATATCTCAGTGATTCTTCAATATGAATGTGAAGACAATTCTTTACAGACACCCAGTTATACAGACACTTACTACTGACATCTCGCAGTACTCTAGGCCATTGTTTTCTGCCCATTCTTGTGCTTTGTTTTGTTCCACAACCCTTCTGTCAATTAAATCAATCTTATTGCCCACTAACACACCTATACAGAAACAAAAGAAACAATGAATTATTAACAATAAGCACTATAAAACTTAGTAAATTAACATGTACCAAAAGCAAGACAGAGAGACAGACAGTTGATTGTTTGACAAGAAAATGGATGAAAAGATCACAGGGAGTACACATTTCCTGTGTTTGGTTTAGATGCTGCTGGAATGAACTAAGGAAAGCCATTGTAGCCATTTGGAGTTCAGATGTTACTGTCTGCTGTAACTTATGAATAAGAGATACGGGCAAAAAATATACATGCAAAAACATTTACATTTTCCTACCTGGAATGTGCATTCCAGAGTTATGGGTCCTCAGTCTCTCTAGCCACTTGGCACAGTTATTGAAAGATTGCTCATTGGTGACATCATACACAATACACAGGGCATTGTGCTGTTTCCACTGCATGGCAAAGGGAAATTACTGTCAACTGTGTTGAAATGTATTAACGCGCTTTACGTGGGGCTTCCCCTGAAGACAGTCCGAACACTTCAATTGGTGCAAAATAGAGCTGCCAGGTTGCTGACGGGGACGGGGCGTTATGCTCACATGACTCCAGTCCTCCGTCAGCTTCACTGGCTTCCCATTGAAGCCCGGGCCCAATTCAAGGTGTTGATTATGACCTACAAAGCCCTAAACGGCTTGGGTCCTGGCTACCTGAACGAGCGCTTACGTCCGTATATGCCCGACCGCCCTTTGAGATCTGCGGGAGAGTCCCTTCTCCGGGAACCCTCCATGAAAGAAATTAGGAGAGTAAGTACCCGGAGGAGGGCTTTCTCTGCGGTGGCGCCAAACCTATGGAATTCACTCCCCAAAGAGGTCCGCCTGGCACCGTCGTTACTGGTTTTTCGGCGCCAGGTAAAGACCTTTTTATTTAAACATCATTTCAATTGTTAAAACATATGATCTGGCCTGGGCAACTTCTTCTTCCTTCTCTTTCTCCTCCTATATTTTTATTTTATACTGATAATTTTAATTTTGTATTTGTAAATCAATGTATTTTTTGTATTGTTATATTTAATGGTAATTTATTATGTACTATTGTATTTCAATGTATTTTATCATGTTGTAAGCCGCCCCGAGGTTTCGGCAAGGGGCGGCATAGAAATGTTATAATAATAATAATAATAATAATAATAATAATAATAATAATAATAAAAACCCCATGGACTTCATAAGGAGAGAAAAAAGTGATTCTGGTATATATGAAATGTCATAAAACCTGGCTATAAATAAAGGATTCTGATCAAGGGGATCCCATAATCTATCTTCTGTGGAAATACCCCTGACATTCAAAGGGAAATGTGCATTTCTGTATTTTAGCAAGTCTCTCATTTCAAAATCCACCAAAGAATAAACACATTCAAGGACAGTATATAACTATACCGAAAGTTTGTGGTGCAGTGGAAGCTGACCCATATTGCATCAAAAACCTGTTGTATAAACTGTTACAATAAAATTATAGTGGAAGCCTAAAAATACCCCAAATGAAGGTATAACAGCACTACTGGGAAAAGCAAAGAGACAATTCTGCTTACATACTGAAGTCTTGATGCAAGCTAACATGCTAATCCTCAGCCTTCCTGAAACAGCACAGTAATTGCCCCAGGGTTTCAAACTTAGGAGAGCCAGCCAAGCACAAAAGGAACAAAGCAATCTGGTTCAAGTCAAATATATTAGGGTAACAAAAGAAGGTGTTCCTTTGTGCAAATATGCTTTTTCACATATTTTGTTTTGCAGAGACTTTACAGAGCTTTAGGTAAAGACTGGCTAAATCCAGTCTTTGCATAGACCACTTTAAAAAAAACACACCAAAACCTAACAGATCACCAGGATGTTGCAAGTTTACAAAACAATGAATCTCTGAACAAGTAGGTAAAGCAATTTAGTGTCAAATGTTCCAGATATGAAGTCTTGTGTTTTCTGCTTGATCAGACCAAGCTCTACTAGCATAATCTAACAAGTGTTAAGTGGTTCACCAGAACAGGCAATTAGGAGGCATTAGGTGGTCCTTCAGAAACTGACAATTGTTCAGCTGCCCCTTTTTCTTTCTCCCACACCACACACTCTGGAGATATTAATCCCTCAGAGATGGTCCTGGTGTTAACAAGAAGAGTGAAAAGGACCATTCCTTGCTCTTATGGAAGCTTTAACTAGGATGCAGAGGTCAGGATTCCTTTATAGTACATCTATACTGTGGAATAAAGACACATATTCTACTTGCCAATTTCTCCAGCATCTCAGAAAAGAGTTCTTTGCCTGCTGAATCAAAGAGGAAGAGTTCCTGAAATCAGAAACAAAAATAATGTGTCCTATACTAGCTTTTAAATACTAGATCCCTTCAGACATGGCAGTGGTCACAAAAAGTGGCCTCTTTTTTCAAAAGTCTAATTGGCTTGCAGCATATTAAGTATTTTTAACTACAGAATTCAAGACATGGATTTATTAATTTTTATGAGAAAGTACACTCATGACTTGTCTTTCAGGCCTTACACAGGTTGCAAATATTCCTTATCTTGTCCCCACACTAGAACAAGATGGTGGTAGCACAAAGCTGTGCTGAAGGAGAAGAGGAGTCTCAATACACATGAGATGGTTCAAATATATTAAAATGTTTGCCTTTGATTTAAACCACTAGGCCTAGTTTCTGTTCTCTGCATCAAGTTGTGAATACAAAAAGGCAATCAAAACTCTAACAGGCACATGCTAGTGTCTGAAAGAGCTGTTTATTTACTTGAAGTAATTTCATACTGCTCTTCAGCCAGAAGACTCCTAAAAGAGTTTACATATAATCAATTAATCCAGAAAGCCCTGCCTAAAGCCCTGCAATCTAAAAAGACATGACAGATATATACAAAGATATGGTGAAGAAAGAGGGGAAATTTAATTCTTTTAACAGGGTGAATGGAACGGCCCTACTCCCTCTTCTCATCTCCCTCAGTACAACCTGCTGGAATGGCTGGTGGTGGTCAAAGGTGAGGGAAGAGAATCCTTCACCAAGGAGTCCTTTCAGCAGAATTGCTGGAATGGTCCTGCTTCCTCCTCTCACCACCCTCAACAGCTGCAACAGCTGCTAATGCAATAGAATCACAGAATAGTAGAGTTGGAAGGGGCCGTGAAGACCACTGGGTCTAAACCCCTGCTGTTGCAGGACATCAATTTATACCATCCCACTCAAATTACAGTCTAGTTTGCTCCGAATGTCTCTAGTGTGGGACAGCCCACAACCTCTCTGGTATCAGTGAGAAGAGATCTTGACCTTCCTCTTTAGGAAAAAGTCTTTGAAGCACTTATAGAGGGATGTCAAGTCCTCCCTCAGTCTTCTCTTCCCAAGCTTGAACATGCCCAGTTGTCTCAGTCTGTCCTCACAGGGGAGTATTTCCAAACTCTAGATCATTTTTGTTGCCCTCCTAGTTTGGTACCTAGGAATAAAATAATCCTAATGATCCAGTGGGATGGCACCAATTCAGACAAAGTCACTGAAAAGCTGAGTTCTTTGGGAAGTGCCTTCTTTTTAAAGTCAATTTAAAATCATGGCTGAACTTACCACACTATCACTTGTCTCTGGAATAGGTATGGTCTTCACCAGTAGTTCTACTCCTGCTGTCTAGCAATCACAATAAGGAAAACATGTCAGAAAAAAATCAGAGAAAACCAGTTTATTTTCGTGCCATGGTTGCCTGGAACCAACAGAACCCTTCAGGTCTTTGCAGTCACACAAAATCTCTAAATTATAGATTTACTTTGATCAGAGGAATAGTTAAAATCTGAAAATTGGATATTAGGAACCAGGTGGAAAGACAAAACTAAATATTTATTTACTTGTTGTAATATGAAAATATTTTCACTATAGGATTAAGATATTTTCCAGATTCTTTAGGGTCTGGTTCACACATTTGCCTAATCCTCCATTCTCTGCTCCTCCAAGGAAGTGCCAAATATTGATTTCAATGTAGAAACTGCACGTTAAGAAACCCATTTTGAACAATTCCTCAAATTTGAATTCCCTATGTACTGCCCTCTGTAAGGGGTGTTTCTCCACATTTCCAAGGTAGGTAGTGGAAAAATGGAATGTGATATACTCCTGATTCTCATGTACCTGATAATGTGCTAGCTACTCTTAGCATTTTTCTAATCAATTTTTCTAAAATATGTGCAAGACACTTAACACTGATTATGGACCCCATTGATATAAGCTTATTTTTTAAGTTGGCAAAGATCATGCAGTTCCTCTTCTCCCCAACATCTGTCACTGCACCATAAGCCTCACCAAAGTATAGTTTTTCTGGAAATGAGCCCCCTCATTGCAGAACATCTGGATCAAGGCACTCTTGCCCACAGTTGAATCACCTACATAACAAATGGAGAAAAAAAAACACACATATTTCTCTAGTTTGACAAAGTCACTTCCTTCCCACCTATGAAAGTTCACATTCTAAGCAATTTTTTCTCTTCCAATGTGATACTTACAGCAACTGTAATAAAAGATCAATGTACAAATGACTAAAATAGTCCTATGACTTCTGTAGGAAGCATAAGTTCATCAAAAGCACATTTATTTTTACAAAGGATTGAGGCCAGTCTAGGCTTGAATTGTATGAATGCAATTAATGTATATGCATGTTTAAGTAAATAGCAAAAACATGAGCAATCTTAGACCACAGGGGGGTGGGGAGGTAATGTTACATCTTCTTTTTGTATTAGGAACGTTAACACATCTGTTTCACTTCTACAACTGAGTCCAAAGAAAATCATTTCTAATCACATTATATAGTGGACAAAAGTTAACTCTTTTAATCACATTCCTCCATTCTAGAGGATGTATTGTATTAAAATTTTGCTTTCCTTGCTTCATTCTAAGAAAAGAGTAAAACTCATTCAACTTCCAAGTGTTCTATAAAACTAGTATTTCAATGGAACTCAAGCACGCCCTAATTTGGTATGATGATCAGGAGTGTGACCAAAGTGCTCTATATTCCAGTGAGGATGCATGTCTCTTCATTGTTCCCATTACATATAGAGCAAGGAATTTCTGTACTAGTCTGGACAGTTCTCTGAATTCCCATATTTGGAATCCAAACCTCCTGATGTGGGAAAAGAGTTGAGACATTTCTGCCTCTGTGTGTGGCATTGAAATTGTGCCTCTAAAAGTGTTTTATCAGTTGGTCCTTTTGACAAAATTCTTCTGCATTTTCTCATACTGGATTTAAGTAAACTACATTAACTAGTAGTGTTGTATACAGTTGTTCACTCATGAAGGGTTCTACTGGACTTTATCTATGCACTACAGGACTGACTGCTGTATCAGGAGGGTTGTATACATATGCCTTCATTCATTTGGAACAAGTTTCTCACTGTACAGTTCCCCTGCTTTTCTATTATTACAAAGAAAGTGTGCCTACTAGTTATATGTTTAAAGTAAAAAGCAATGCCAGAGAATTGTGGAATATTATACCAAAATGAAAAGTATGCTGCAATTAGTAAATACACCCTTAGTACTGTAATAGCCTTTCTGTAAGTGTGCTATGCAGCTTTGCTTTCTCCTATTAGTGAGAACTGTAGTACATGCTGAGATAAGCAGACTTCCCAGGTAAATTTACTGACATAAGCCACACATTTTCTGGAAATTCCATTGAGATACAAGGCTCTCTATTGGACTGTCAAGTACAGAGTGTAACCATCTTCTTTTATAGAGGGTCAAATGTCCCACAAGTTCAAGCCCAAAATTCTGTAGAGAGCTTCATGCATCCTGTGGGTTATTACTTCTTTTGAAACATAAGTAAATTCTTGACATATGAAAACTGAGTCTCATGTTGAAATGTAGCTAGTTTGGAGTCCAAGTTTTCCTTGCGGCCACCAATCTAGGTTTTTTTTTTCCCTTTTGTCATAGAAATTACCAGCCTTCCCAAATTCTGGTTTTCACAGAGCCTGACATGAGTATTCCATTTGAAATGAAATCCACATAGATGACAACTTTGTACTCTCAATGTAATTTGTTGACATCCAGACCTCTACATCAGATTAATTGAGTTTTCCTAGATATCCTGTTTCTTTTTTAGTCAAGGTATATTCTGAAACTTCATGGACTCCTATAACAAATCAACAAAATTCAGCATAGTGGTCTGTCTTTTTGCATGCTTGGCACATTGCTTTTGTGTCTGGGATGGTAGTACAAGCATGTGTTGGATTTCTGCATCATCTCCTGCCTCCTATCATATACATTTTGCTGAGGTGAATGCCATGGAAGCAGCTCATACTTGTTATTGTGAGTTCATCTTTTTTTTTTATAGCCTTGTATTTGCAGCATACAGAGTAGCCAAATCTATGATCAGCTGATGAGATTTCTTTTAATTTATTTGCTACTGTTTGACCAACTCAGATTTATGAGCACAGTTATTATCATGTACCCTACTCCCTTTTTCCTAGTGTGGTTGTGCAGTAGGGACAGGAGCAAACAGGAACAGAACAGGACGATATGGCCACATTTCCACCCCGTGCATGAGCAGAAACTACTGTTAAATTCAGGACAAAACTACTGTTAAATTCAGGACAATTTACTAGCTGCTATCCACCTTCTTCTATCTTAAATTTCAGTGAGCAAAGACATTTGTTTTGGTTAAAATAGGAAGACAAATTGATTACTTTTCCAATATTTAAGAAGATCAAAGTTGTTTTTCTTAAATTTCAGTTATGGAATAAAACATTCTAGAGAGACATCCTCCATGTTTAGCCATATGCCAAAATCACATTTATCAACACTTTTTCATTATAGTGCTTTGCCTTTTATTTGGAACATGGTTACATGTTCAAAAACTGTTCTAATGCTAACACATACTTTGCATCCAGATCCAAATCCTGCAGTGGGTCCTGGTCTGAACATGTAACTCAACATATAACTATCTAATAAACCCTAAGAGGAATCAGCTCATGCATTCCAGTCCACACCTGTATTAAACTGAACTAGAAGTCCTCTAACCCAAATTTTTGTTTACATGCTCACTACAGCAGTGCTTCCGACAGAAAATCGTTTAGGCTGCTGGAATTACATTACTTATTAAGTTTATGCTTCAACTCTATATTCAATGCAGTTTATAACAATCATGCACATCACACAAACTAAAGATGGGAGGAAAAAATCCGTGATGCTTTGACCTCACTTTACATTTGGCACTCTTCAAGGTCAAATTTGATTCAGACTACACCTACCCCATCTGCTCCTGCATTTCTGTATTTAAGAGTCAAAAAGCTGAGGTACACACTTTTAACATACAGCTTGATCCTAACCATGCTGACTGAAAAGCAATTTTCACTTAAGTGTAACTTCAGAGGGAGTTATAGTTAAGTACTTATCACTTATAACTACAGTCTTAAATGAATGGATGTTGGGAAGCAGCTAAGCTCTCTTACCCCTGGGTTGCTAGGCCCAGGAACAGGTCTTGGCATGGAATAACAGGTGCTGCTACACTGAGACCTTGTGCCCAAAGTCTGGAACCCAGCAATCCAATCCTTCTCTCATCCTAAGGACCAGCAGGTAATGTTGCCGTGAAACTCAAATTTTATTCTTGCAGCCACGATGGTGCTATGATTTAAGTGACTTTAAAATGCAAAACTTCACATGTTCTGAGTATTTTGTTTTAATGAGGCAAACACTTGCTGTCATAATATGTTGGGCATGGAGAAGCAAGGAGAAAGCATGGAATGACAACTGCTATTAGGAGGCTGTGTCTCACAGATTAAGTTATACACACGGGAACTCACCTGCCACGACGCATTTGGCAGCTAACTTCACCATGGCCTGCACTGGCCTTCACCATAAAAAACTATGCGGGAAGCAAAGCCGAGGGGAGACAGAGAAAAGGCCTACGTTTACTAGGTGAGGCTTGCACAAGGATTAAACGGGAGTCGGAGACAAGGCCCAGTGGAGCGGGGTGCTGCGAAGACTACAGACCCTCTTGGGACTCTGCCAGAGGAGGGGTCACTATGGGAGCGGACCAAGAGTGCAGGACAGGGAAACGATCCCCACGTGCACCTGCTCACAGAAAAATACGTCCCGACCTTCTCCTAGCAACCCTCTCCCAGCAACTGCAACGCTCCTGTAAACGCTCCGCTTTCGATCCCCAGTCCCGCGGAAGCCCCTATTGGCGGAAGCTTTCCAGATCGCAAGAAGCTATTGGTTATGCCTGCCTGAATTCTTATTGGCTCTCACTTTCACAACTTCCCGCCTTCTTCGGCAAGGCATCACCCCTCAGCTTATTGGTTGTCAGCATATGCCAATCTAAAGAAAGCTAACTAGTGATTGAGCGGGTGGGAGGTCTATCTAAATCAGACGCATTTCGGCACGCCAGGGCGATCGCCTTATTCTTGTTCCTCGCGATTTCCGCGCAAGCGGATGAAGTCGTCCCGAGTTACAATTCAGCCAGCGTAGACCGTAGCGTCTTTTTCTACTCAGGAATATATAATAAGCTTTTTTTATTGGTTAAATCAGCTGGACCGTACCACTAAGACGGAATATTATTTTCCTCTGTTTGAAAATCGTCTTAGGAACCCCCTCCCAAGGTTAAGATATCCGAATGATCTAAAAATTCAAGTTCCTTTCCCGTAAGGTTCTGTGAGGCCTGAGAGAGTCGAAGGACAGGGTTCCTTTCGCAAACCATATATTCCTAATTCTCTCCCGTAGCCGTCGCCTGTCTCCCTGCTTTTCCTTGGGTCTCGGGTGGCTCCACGCAAGGTTAACTGAGTTTTCCGCGTCTGCGCAGACAGCGCTGCCTCCCAGCCCCCATCCTCCTCGGCGGGCGGGGGGCGAACGGTTGGGCGCGCGGCGCCTTCGAACCTTTCCCTGCAGCTGCTGCTTTCGCCCGGCCTTTGCCACAGCGCCGCCTTCGCTTCGTCACTGACGGACAACCGTAAAACGCTTGTGTAACCACGGCCTCAGTTCCCGAGGTAGTGGGAGTGAAGGGGGTGGGGATGTCCGCTAAGCAGCCTCTGCTTTTGGCCTGTGTGCCCGGTGCTTCCGCGTGTGTGTGAGGGAGCGAGAGCCTCCCCTCCCTTTACGATTTCCCCAAGCAAAACTATTGGGTTTCTGAGGCAAAAGGGCTGCCTGATCCAACAGGACCTTTGTGTCCTTGTGAATACAAATCATTAAAAGACAAGCCAGTGTGGGTAAATCCGTTAGCGTTAGAATAGGATCAAGGAGGGAGACAGAGGCAGATCTCCGTTCTGCTAGTGGACAACTCTCAGTCTAGCCAACTCCACAGGGCTGTTGTGAGAACAAAAATTGGAGAAGGTCCTACGTATGAACGTGTGCACCTTCAAATAAAGATGGAGTATATGTGAGAACAATAGAAAGCATTGAGTTCGTTTCAGCCATCCAGCGGTGTCTGTCATTGCGTGCGAAAGTGCACGATAAGTTTTCATTCCCCCTACCCCGCAACTTCATTTTCTCCTTTTCTCCAGTGCAGAAATTCTCGGTGGTTGCTTCCCTCCAACCCTCTTCCAAGAATTTCAGTTTATTATGTAAAATGTAAATTAACAAAACAATCTAAGTAAAATTAGCAGGGAAAAAAGCTAGAGCAACTCTAGAAAATGCATCTGTTCTTTGTGACGACCTGAAGGAGCCAAGGTTCAGTAAGAAGGTTGAGACAGAGAGCTCTTGAAATAAGAGGGAAGAAGGTTGCTTATCATTTGGGACTTACCAGGTGTGGGTTCAGTTCCCTCTTGTGTTCATTTTCTTAAGGTTCAGTTCACACTGTACTTTAGTTTTCTATCTGTAGAGGTTAACAGGTGTTGATTTTATAGTATGGTGACATGGTTAGATGCTATAGGAGACAGATCTAGCAAGAGCTTCAAAGTAAAATATTTAAGAGTGCCAATCCATTTATGTTCTGGATAAAATGGAAAATGATTGTTCTTAATATGTGAATTTGCCCATCCTAAAGAGCTGGGTCTTTGGACAGAAATGTGGGCAAAGATATAGGGTAAAGAGGGAAAGGAAGAAATACAGGGATGGGTTATCTGGGAGATCTGGTCAACCATGCAGTGCACTGGGTTACTTTGAGCCAGTCACTCATTCTCAGCCTAACCTCACAGGGTTGTTGTGAGGATAAAATGGCATGATGTAAGCCACATTAGGTTCCTCACGAGAGGGAAAAGGTGGTATACAAATGCAATGAAATAATAACATTAAATGTGTTTTGGTTTTTGTTAGCAGAAATGCTTTGTTATTAAGCAACCCTCAGTGTTATATATCTGTAAAAGACTTCCATTCACTGAGTTTGAAATTCATTACATGAAAATTATTAAAGAACTGGATTGCTGTAACTTAGAAAAAAACAAAATTAGTGGAGACATAGTTGCAGTTTACCAGAATTTAAAAGGCTAACTTACAGAAGAACAAAAGTTTATCATGGTTTCTAAGCAAAAGGCAAAAAGTTAAACATGTTACAAAGCAGATTTAGTTTATATATAACCTGGAAAAATATTTTGCAGGCTATATTTAACAGTAGGTTCTGGAGTAATATGCATCTCTTTGTTGAGACTCCAAAAGCATTAGTCAAATAATGGTTTGAAGACTTATTCTGCCCTTGTTTATTGGAAAGTAAGTTTTGCTTGGTTGAGTGGTATTTACTTTCCAAATCAATGTGCAGCCTTGATTGCAGCCTTAGATCTGGGTATGGTTTTGAAGCAGGCACATGGTTGGTCAAGATGACATTTAAAGTTGCTTGAAATTTTGAAAATAACTTTTAAAAGGCCATAAACTAAAGTGGTCACATGACCTACTTTATAGAAGATAAACCCCAATTTGAAGGGCTGTGTAAATGGTTGCCCTACCCTGACATTTAAAAAGGGGTGCAGTGACTTCAAGATGTTCCCCTAGTGAAGATGTCACTCTTCACTTCTCTAAGTGGTGATACATTTCAAAGGAAGTGCTGCCCAGGTTTTGTTTCTTTTGACTTGGAAATCTCTGAAGAACAGGGCTTAGTAAATTGTTGCAGTATTTACAAATCTACAGGAAGAAAGAAAAATCAAGGAGCAAGCACCCACGCCTTTGTCACTTCCCTGGAACTTTCCATGATGGGTACCTAGATTTTTAAAAAGTACATCTACCTAAGAGTCTTCTACTAACCAGGCATCTGTCTAACCAAGGAATGACTGGTCCACCAATAACCTTACCGCCAGGCCAGGAACACTACAGATCAGTAAATGAAGCAGGTAAGATATACTTCAGTCAGCAAATTAGATCTTCCAACAGAAGATAATAGAGAATATGTTGAGGGGCATAAACTCGAAGGAGATGCAGAGGAGCTGATGAAAGTGCAGGAGGTTGTACAAATAGAGAGAAAAGTTGCAGATCAAGTATATGATTCAAAAATAGAAGCAGATGTAAATCATGGAATTGTGGCTGGAACATGGGTGAGGAAAGAGAAATATTAATTGTATGCTTTATAACTGAATGTGCATGTCTTTCTAAAGGGTTTCACAATAAGACCGTCAAGTTCAGGGTCTAAAATAACTGCACTACTGCATCCAATGACATTTACAGACTTCTAGGCTTGTCTCCATGAACTGGAGCAGTAGCAATTTTATTTATTCAAGTTAATCTCGAAAGCTGAGTTTTCAGAGGAGACAACTCATTAATCCTCTGAGTGCTGCAACACGTATTGGCCATTATGAATATGTAGCCCGCCCCACCATGGGTTGCCTTGTTGGGCAAACCCAGCAGGGGATTGTTATTCATTGGTTAAACAATCCTTTCCTGAACCTTGTGACTAATTAATCCATGAGGGAGCTGTCATGTCATTTGAACAAGGTCAGTAAAATGAATTCTGTGCCCAGTACCATTTCTTGGTCCTTGTCTGCTGTGATTGTAGAGTTGCAGAAACCACCAGTCTTGATTATTATTATCTGAGTTATCTAAGGTCATTCCTGGATATTGAGATGTAGTATAAGAGACTCTATCAATTATCTATGCTAGTTTGTTTGTACATCATTATGTTTGCACACATATGCAAACTATCACAAGTTGGGAATTTGTGGTTTGTGCATTGGACACGGGGATGAGAGTGAGATACAAATTCTTTTTTGGTGTTCTCTTTTGATGTGACAAACAAGCCCTGAGATCAAAATGCAAAAGTCAATAGCATCTTGAATGTCTGAAAGCACTTTTAGCTCGCGGGCTTTTTAATGAAATAGAAGCTGCTTGGAGAAGTAGTATTTTCTAATTATCTCTTCTTGATAATCAGTGAAGAGAGGACAAAGACAGTTCTGACACTGCAAAAATGTTGTACATCTCTAGGCTGCTACATGCTCAGAATTTTAGATGCACATTTGAGCATTGACTCTGTGGGCCAAAGGAATGTAAGACCCATGTAAATTCTAGTCACATTTCTGCTTGGAATATTGTCCCCTAATAAGAAAGCCATCCAAGATGAACTCTGAAGTTGAATGAGTGTTCAAGGCTGTAGTAAATGGTGAATGTTAGAGAAAGCAGCCAAGTGTAAAAGGCAACAAAGCAGAAAGAATTGGATAACAATAGCACAAAATCTTTCTTTTCTTTCACCTCTGATTCATGCTCTATGACATAGGGCAGGTACAAGGAAGTCAGTCGAAACATAACTTAGTAGCTGTGCCAGTAAATGTAGTGATGCTATAGCAAAAATCAGGGTTTCTTTAAAGCTGAAAAAAGCTGCATACATTGTTTGAGATATGAAACATACCTCTCAGCTGTAGGAGAAATTTCTGCAGCAGAGCAGAAACCAAATGGGCATCTGGATGAATGATAATATATTAACTACAGTAACTTGGTAGCATTACAGAATAAGCTTGACCCTCTGAATTGACTGTATATGGACTAGTTCTCACTGAGATGTTAATTCTGTGTTTATGCAGTACAACTTTGAACTCCAAAGTGGGGATTCATACGATTTTACACTATCCCTTACCAAAAAGAAAAACACAGTAATAAAAACATATGCATAGAAAATTGTGTGGGTGTTTTTTTTTAAAGAGTGAATTGCTCTTCGGTATATGATGATATAAATACCATATATAGAAAATTCTCATTTGCTTAAACAGTAACTTTCCAACTTTCTGCTTTGAAGTCCTTCTATATTGATTGTCTGCTTTGGAATCCTTATGTGTTGCAGATTATTCTAACGCTTTTTCTGGGATGCTCATAAAAGACTTCTCTACATGATGCTTTTATTGTGTGGTTGTGATCCCTCAACTCAAGGAATTTTGCAAGGCCTTTAAACAATGTCTTTGTCCTCCAGGGCCTCTCTTGAGTTTTGTACACTTTATTGTGTATGGGTTTTTTTTAAGAGTGAGAAAAACATGGTATTAAATTTTAAACTGTGAGAAACCAGAGCAAAAGTCTGATGAAAAGATAAAATTCTTGTTATATTGCAGCTTTACCACAGTATCACCTCATGGTTGGTTAACAGTATATATAGAAAGGTGGGAAAATGCATACCCTGGAAAATTCATTTCTGCAACAAACATAGATGAAGAAACCTGTGTATACCAGCCCGTTAAAACTCTCATGTGTAGAAGCCCTAAGTTCTGTTTGAGGCACTTGCCTGGCACATTGAACCTTAATGCCATCCTATGTAAACTGATTGCCCTATAACATATAATTATTGTTGGACACAATTGCCCATTGCCAGAAAAGATGAGTGGTAGTGGGCAGACTGCTTTGCTTCATATCCTGCCAAACAGCTATAATTGGTATGCAGTAAAGAACGTTCTCGGTGCTTTTTGGCAGGA